AAAGTTGCATTATGATATAAATGATTAATTTAAAAGGAAGGAAACCGAATACTTTGTTTTTTTTTTTTTTTGTTTGTTTAAAAGCAAAAAAAAAATGATTCATAAAAATGGAAATATTTTTCCAAAAAAGAAAAAAAAAAGCCTCAAAATTGCAATTTATCATTTAATTGTAAAATGTTGCAGTTATATATTTTCTTATTTTGAATTAAAAATTGTTAGCTTTAAAAATAAAATTTCAAATTAAATAAGTGTTTAGGTAGCAAAAAAATTTCACTAACTACTAAATTAAATTTAACATTTTTATAGTCATTTCTAATAATATTATTTCAAGAACTTACTATAATTAACTTAAGATATATGAAATAAATGACATTTTAAAAAAATTTTAAAATATTAGAAGTGATCATTGCTTGATTAACTTTTGCAGCATATTTATTATTAATTAGTAATGAGTATTTGAGTATATCTTAGCATAAAAGTGTTAATATAATTATTTATAACAGCAGCTTTTTTGTTTACTTCTTTGATAAAAAAACTGTATAATACTCAAATTCAGATAGAATTAAATAATAATAATAATAAGAAGAAAGCACTTTTTTATAAACAAAAAAAAATTGTACAAATTATTTTTCTTTTGCAAAAATTACTGTTATTATTAAGAAATGAAAAGAAAAGATAAAATAGGAAATGAAAATGATGAAGGAAATGGAATAAATAAGCGTAATTCCTGAAAATTAGGAAATGAAATTGAAAAGAAACGGAAAAAAAAAGGAATGAAAAACAATCGTTTAAAATAATCGATCCAATTTAGAACAAAAAAATAAAATAAAAGTATTTTATACAAAAATAAATCAAAATAAAGATAAAATTGCAATTAACATTAGTTAGTTATTTATTATATATAATTTAAAAATTATTTGATCAAAGCGTAAAATCCACTCTTTTCGTAAGAAATGATTAATAGGTCATTGATAACAATTTTATTTAATTTATTTCTTTATGAAAATATTAAATATTTACAAATACTTGCACATTGTTATATTAATTATACTATATGCTTGATTACTTAATTAGCTGATCTATTATTGAAGTATTGAATTGTTTCATTGTTACATAATTGCAAATAAACAGTAAACAAATCATATGAACAGTTAAAAACTTGAAAAATTTTAAATATTTATATTGCATTAATTGATAATCATCCAATTGAAGATCAATCATAACAGTTTTACTTAATTATTCGTTTATGACAATATTAAATGCTTGCAAAATCATCTTTTATATATATATATATATTTTATACGTAATATTTTATGTAGTAATATCAAGTATTAATATCAAGTATTACTAATGTTTAGTCATAGTTTAAATTAAAAAGAAAAGTTATGCAATTAAAATTTTAAAATGTTTATGATCATTCTTAAAGAAATAATAAAAGCATATCTTTTTTCCTTTTCTATTTAACAAGTAACCGAACTTACCATTTTATAAATGAATTAAATGTATGTTTCACATATAATAAATCATTTTATTAATCGATTTAAAATTATAAAATGAAATAATTGAAACAAAATTGAAGTCAATTATTTACCATATAAATGACACAAAAGTATTTCTATTTCATTGTTATTAAGTGGAACAAAAACAGTTCGTCAAATGACGTTTATAACTGAAACAATAATGAACTGTTTGATATATAAATTATATTCATTGAATCGAAATACTTATTTACTCGTTTATAACAATATTAAATACGAGGAAAAGAATCGAAGGTTTAGGCTTAGGAAGAGTAAAAGGAATGAGAAGAAGGAGGAAGGAAAACTAAATTAAAGAAATTAAAAATATGAATAAATTATTAAGCAAAATGGTATAAGGAAAAGGTGGCTGGTAGAATGAGTGATTACAAGTGGTTGGGGAAGTGCGGGTAAGGGTGGGTGGAATGACGGGTTAGGAAGTAAACGGAAGGGCGGGTTGAGAAGTGGGTAGAAGGGCGGGCTGAGAAGTGGATTGAAGGGCGGGTTCAAGAGTGGGTTAAAGATCAGATTGAGGAGTAGGTTGAAGAGTGGGTTGAGGAATGGGTTAAAGGTCGGGTTGAGGAGTAGGTTGAAGAGTGGGTTGAGGAATGGGTTAAAGGTGGGGTTGAGGAGTGGGTAGAAGAATAGATTGTGTAGGTAGAGAATGCTTATTAGTTTAACAAATTGGCTGTCTTCTTCAATTACTTTTAAAACACTGTATGATTTATTAAAATGTTAAAATTCAGTTCATAGCCGAAGAATAGAAATGAAATGGAAAGGAAAATTGTTCCACCAATTTTTTTTTTCTTTCTTTTTTATTTTCTTCCCTTTTTTTTTGAGTGAATTTGCCACAATAATCGTAAAATTTATAGAAAGAATAATTTTTGATGGAATAATTAATGAAAGAAAGAAAGAAAGAAAATTAAACAGACAATGATCTAGCAAATAACCATCATAAAAATGTTTTAATTTTGAAATGAGTGAGTATAAAATTGAATTATTCTAAAATATTTGATGTTACGATGAAAAGTTTATGTCAACTGTAACTATCAGTTAATTAGTTAATTCATATATCTTTTGAATTCGTTTCTTTTTTTTTTTTTTTCAAATTTCGTAGAAAAATAATAGCAAGCAGCAAATATTGTGTTATTTATTGGTAGCAATAAGGAAATGAAATTCAAAAATTTAACTTCATTTTCTTCTTTTTTTTTTTTGTTTCTAAAAAAAACACTACTGCCTTAAGATTTTTAATAGAAAATTTTTGATTTCTTCTTATCACTTCATAATAACATTTCATACAGCTAAAATTATTTTTAACAAATACAATAAAACGTTATATCTTTTTTAATATTTTTTTTTAAATTGCTAATTTGTATCTAAAAGAAATTTTGAAAAATGCCACAAAAGTTTGATAATTATGCATAAGAATACCACATTTTAAATAAAAGGAAAAAAAAATTACTTTGACGCAAATATTTTCCCTTTCTGTTTTTTTTTTTTTAAATATGTACCTTTAAATACAATATGAAAAAGTCGAATAACCTTTCATTGTTAAATTTAAATTATAGTCTGTTCAAAAACACAATTTACATATATGTTTTAACACGTATTTGTTCCACCCATTAGATCTTCACCAAAATTTTTAGAATATTCAACGTATTCCAATTTCATTGCATAAACATTTATTTTAAAAATCTTCACTGTTTATTCCAACAGAATTAGGTGTTCGAATAAAAATAAAAATAATAATATCAATAATAATGTCACTGATAATAATATAATATTAATAATAATAATTAGTAATAGTAGCGTCAATAATATAATAATGAAATCATTTAATAAAATAATAATAGTAACAATGATAGTAATAATAATGACAATAATAGTGAAAAAGTATTTGTAATTATTATCATAGTAATAATAATAATAATAATAATAATAATAATAACAGTAATAATAATACAAATAGTGAAGTATAAAAAATTCGAACATCTCCACTGTTAAATTAAAATAATAATTTCGAAAAAAGAATTTTTGCTATCATAACTATAAGACAGTATGCTTGCATAATTGCGCTTAACACTTTTCAAAGAGAATATATATGACATCAATCTATTTGAATTTGGAACTTTTAGAAAAAAATTTCACATAAAAAAACCGAAAGACAATTGGATATCAAAGAGAATCACAGACTGCAAACTTATGAAACATATCAAGTAATGCACATTGGGGTAAGTGAAGGATAAGTGAAATTCAAATTGAAAGGCAAAAATTAAATTTCCCATGTTAAATAGATGGATAAATTTGGAACTATAAATTAAGCGCTTCAAAAATAGAGAAATATCATTTCATCATCATTACCATTCTTAGCGTTGAGCTAATAATGTATATCATTTCGTTAAAAATCATTTCCATTAATTTAATTTTTTATTAAATAAATTTGAATTCCTGATTTTATTTTATTATAACAAAAACAAAATCAATAATTGTTAACAAAAATATTGAATGAAATACATAAGCAACTAAAAGCTGTTTTAAAGTGCACCACTAAGCCTTTTATATTAGTAAAGGCAATTTTACTACTACTAATAAAAATCAAAATTATTACTGCACAAATATATATTGCACTAGAAAAGAAGAAAGAACAATACGAAGGAAAGTTTTAGTAAAGAAAATGAATGAAAACAAGCATCGACGTATACTACAAATCAAATTATAAATCAAATTATTAAATCAAAAAACAGAAATATGCATCCTTGGGTATACAAAAAATCAGTTACTAAAATGAAATGCATGTGTTCTAAAGGAACCCTTGGCTTAAAATACAATTTGAAAATTTCATTTAAGGATTACATTCTTGAAGCGCGTGTAGATATTTCTTGTTTTACAATGCATATCATTTTTTTATATTTTGTCATTGTTCACAACTTCTTTCAAATTGAGGTAAAGAATTCATATTTATATCTTTGCATTAAAAATGAGAAAAATTTTATCTGTTCTCATATTTTTTTTATAGGTCGTGATTTCTCTGCATTCCACCACTGAGGAATAAATTAGAATGTCACTGCTTTGGCTTATATTCTTGAAGATTTCATAATTTAACATACAACTCAAATCCATTTCAAATACTATCTTAAATCGTTAACTCATTTCTTCCTCTTGGAATTTTTTTACTAGCTTCTGAAATGTTTAACACTGAAATGAAGTGGACGCTAGCATATTTCCATTCTAATGAAAAGTGAAAGTGAAGCATGATGCCTCGTATTGCGAGGTAAACAAATTAGCAAATGAACCAAAATAAGTGAAGTGAAATGAACAGGTAAAAGCTAAGGCAGTAAAATATTAAAAAAAAAAAAAAAAAGTTACCAACTTTTAATTCAGGTGAAAAAAGAGGGTATAAACTTTTTGAAAATGCAAGAAAAAGGCAATGATGAGCAGAGTTGGAACAAAATAAATAAAAAGTAGGGCAGGACGCAAAAAATTGAATTATCGGAGAAAAGTCGTCTTTAAGATATCGTTTAAATAAAGGGCTACAGCTTGCGCATTAGTTGCTTGATCAGCTTGCATAAATGCCAATGTTTTCTCCTGACATTCCAATATTTTTCGTTGCAAAATTTCGTTTTGTTCTCTTAGAAAGCGGCCTTCTTGCTCATATTGTCGAGCTGAATTTTCGGATGCTGTCACACGAGTACTAAAGCGAATCGCATCTGACTAAAATATAATTCTATATGAATAATTACTAATAAACAATACAATGACATCGAAATAAAAAAACGGATAAGAATTAATTAATGAAGCAAATATTTGAAATTATTCCTAGCAAATGTGTATGTTTCCAAACTTTTACACCAAGAGTACAAAATTACTCCGAGTGCGAAAAAAAGACTGAAGATAAGTTTTAAAATGTTAGAAATTTTACAGATCTCGAAAATCATTTAGAAATAATTTGTATCATCAAATTTTACTTGAAGAGTGGCAGTTTTTCCTTCCAAATAACGACACCTATTTTCAGCCATTGCTAACTTTCCTCTGTAGATAGCACATTCATAGCATTCTCGAGATGCAGGCGGTGACGTGCCATTACTTGTACTACTGTGTGTTTCAGATGGTGATATATGACTTTCAATAGGATCAGATGATTCACTTATTGTATGCTTTCCTTTATTGGTATTATTATTATTGTTGTTGATAATAATACTTTCAATGCTACTATTCTGCAAACAGATCATAAAACAAGAGAAATATACTAGTTCTTTAAAATATATCTGTTTTAGTTACTTATGAGAAATAAGAATGACTTTAGTTTTTTTTTTTTTTTTTTTAAAGAAAGAGAAACATTCTGTTAGGAAGGTTACAAATAAACTAAAACAATAATATATTGAATTTTTAAAAACTCCACTAAGTGTTGCTACTTCCGGATAATAATTATTTTCTCCAGCTTTTGAAAGGTAGTACATTCTAGAGCATCATCCTAATACAATCCAAATCCTAATTATATCGTGAAATATTGGAACTATTTAAAATTCATTCTATGTACTGTTAATATTATTATCACACTTACCGAAACACCATTCAAAAGGACTTTACATTCATTGTTTTTCAATATTAGGTTACCATTCTTTGGGGAGCTATTTATTGCTGAACGTAAATTTGGCATCGTTTTAGATGAAACATTTCCAATAGCAGCATTAGAAGCTGGTCTCAACAAAGATTCATGTAGTATTCTAAAAGCATTTTTTATTAACACATATGCATATATATAAACAAATATTTATAAATATTTGTGACAAACAAGAATAAGAAATTTCTACAAGAATTTAAAATAGAATTTAAGCCACACTTTTTATCATCTGCAACCACATTCGCGCTTTTAGGTCGTTCGATATTACTGTTAGTATTATTGTTGTTGTTCTCTTCAAGATTCACTGATGTTTCGACTTTTGTCTTTCCGTTTAATTCCATCTCAAAAAAGTTATTAATGATGGACATAATGCTAAAATGGGCTGCTAAAAATATTAACTTTAATACTGCATAAAACGTAACTTTTTTTTTTCAGTCTAATAAGAAAAAAAAAAATGAAATTACCACTCTCTGCTATAAAGACGATACTTTCATGTATAATATTTCCCCTCTCATACTCATTCTATCGTTATAATTATAATTTCATCACTCATATCTTAATAATAATTATTAAGACTTTGCAGGACAATCAATTCGATATAATACCTAACTGATACTAGCAAACCTCTTTTTCATTCTGATGCCATAGTGATATTTAATTCCTTTAATAAAACAAAAAAGAAGTGTAAATAAGATGATACAATATGTGACTGATGTTGTTCTGTACTGTTCCTGTCTGTTATCATATCATCGTCATATTCTTTGTCAACATTAATCTCGTCCTCTTCAGCAGCTAAATTGACATCAGAATCCTTTGATGAACACATATCCAAAGGATTTCCACCATTTGCATCTATGATAAAACGATAAATTTAATCAATTTTCCATACAATAATTAAGAAAAAAGAAAAAATACATAGAAATAAAACTAGTAAATCCTTAAACGTCTGAATATTCGTTCTGTTTTCATAAGCACATGAATAATTAAGAAGAAAAATTTTTTACTTGACTGATCCATTTTTGGATAAGCTGAAAGCCATGCGGCAAGGCCAAAGCTGGATTGAGCAACCAAATTATTCAGCATCAGACGTTCACGTAATTTTGACATTAAATCATCCACATGTGTTCCACTTCCGGATGTATCTCGAAGAAGAGCCATTGGCGAGAATAATGTTGCTGCTGCTGCTTGCAATGCTGCAAGAATAATTGTTAAATATAGAAGAAATATTGATATTAAGTTTTGATTCCGTTGGCTTTCTAAGACTTACAGCTTTGTTCGGTAAGACTGACTGCTTGTTGTGGTGCAAGGCCAACTAATGAATGGAGCTGCAATGGAGCAAACGGATTTGTTGCAGGAACTCGTGGCTGTGGAACATGAAGCGTTGACAGCTGCGGTGAATGACGACCTTTTTCCGTCAATCCAGTCTGACCAGTTAGATTTTCATTTTGCTGTTGTTGTTGTTGTTCCTGTTGATGCTGATGCGTAGTAGGTGGATTACCTTTACCGATCACCGGAACCGAAATCGTTTTCCCTTCTTCTTTTGCCTCAAAATTGGAATGTTTAAAAATGTCCATTTAATCTTAAAAACATCCAAAGCTTGTTAAATATAAGTTATCAAATCTAACATAGTCGTTGTTTACTTCCAATTTTTACTTAAATTCCTTTCATTTTATTATTGCATCTTTCTTTATCATATTAATGAATTATACATTATATCAACTTTATTAGTAACAGTTCTTCCTGCTTTTGTCGTAATACTTACCATATCATAACAAAATTAAACTCTATTTTTTTTTTTTTCAAATATTTACAAGCGTTTTGATTATACTTACATAAACGTTTTGATTTTTTTTTTCGTTTCAATTCTGCAAAAAGTTTTGAAAATGAACAAATTAAGAAAAGTACCTGCATATGCATATGTAAACTTGTTTTATCCGGGAAAGCCCAATTACAGCAACGGCACATAAACATACGTGAAATTTGATGCTGTTTGTACATATGTGCTCGAAGTGTTTCATTGCCTATAAATTATCCACAAATATAATAATATCATTTAAATTTCATTGAATAATTATTTTTGAATATTAAAAAAAATCGAAAGAATTTAAAGGAAGCTTTTTTATGAAAAAGAGAAAAATAGGTACAATTTTAACTATAATTAAAAAAGCTGCAGAAAAACTTATCTTACATACATACCTTCCATTCCTTTTCTCTTTCCATCCGATACTATTTATCAAATTGATTAATGAAAATATTAAAGCAGTGAATGAATGTCATTTATCAGTTATTATTGTGATAATGACACACACATATATGTTTTCAAGAATTTTAAATAAATTAGAAACTCAAAAAAAAAAGCTATTTGATGGAAGTGCCAAACTCTTCGATACATTTTTCTTTTCTTCCTCTTCCTTTTTTCTCTCATTAAAGATGAATATGATATGTTTAGAACAATATTTTCTCCTAATAGGATGACAATAAAGTTATTAATTCTTTCGGTGATAGAGAAACATTAAAGCATTTTTTGACGCTTATTGTTTTGAAGCTAAATAATATAAATCTTACAATTTCCTTTATAATTAATGAGTAGCAACAATTTGTTAATTTCGATCTAGTCTTGCACTTGGCTTATTATTTTAGAGTTTGACTGCATATGCTTTTTTTTGTTTGTTAACAATCATAATGAAAATATAGAAAAAAATAGAAAAAATAAGAGAATAAAATCTGAAAAGAAAGATAATTCTACTTTATCAAAAAGAAAACTGAATTGGAAACTATTCATCATAACTTATCTTCTTTATGGAAAATAGCACATCAGTAATAGATTCCAATTCTCTTTCTCTTCGTTTTTTGAATCTGTATTTTACTTTTTCTTCAAGAAGACAAAGAAAACCGAATTCATCCATCCATCAATTTATTTGTACTTATTCTTGTTCTCAGGATTATTCGGTTATTTAAGGAAGAGTGGGAAATGTTCCCGTATTTCTGTCATTTCAAATTAAATACTATAATTCATATAAAAGTACGTCTAGTCTAAAATTCATTATTCATCTCCTTTTTTTTCTATTTTTAAATTTTTGGTTCTTTGTTGCTCATTCTTCTATTCTTTCAATAGTGAACAATTATTATGCAGTTGGATGATGATGACAATTGCTGCTGCTACTTTTCGATCAGATAAGAATTAATCAATTAATCAGTCAAGTTTAATTATTGCTTCTCACAACGCATTACAGAAAAAAATGATTTCAGTACATATTCCGCACCAATAATATGGAAGAATTATAAGCAAAAATAGTAATTATTCATTCAAAACAATATTAAAAAATGTACCCTAAAATTTAAAAAAAAAATGTTTCAATTTCGCAAAGAAGTTAATATTTGAGAAATGGTAATTAACTCATATCCCTAAAACCATCACATTTATGAAGCAAAAGAAAATGCCCTTAAACCAATTAGTATAAATGATGGATTGCTGTGTAATACTTCAGAATTATTTTGAAATTAAAAAGTTTTTTTTTTGAGTGAGTTTTAAGTGAGTTTTAGAAAAGTCACAATAATTTTGACCAGACAGATATACCGTGTTTTCAGATTTATGCTATCTAAATCTCCTACTACAAGATCAGGTTGTATACCAATTGATACAAAGCTGATTTAAAGAACAGTGAATTAGGGTATCTCACCACTTAGTGCTATAATGAAAGGGTGTTATTGTTGTGTGCTGCAAAATATAATAGACGATTATAAAATGCTTTGTGCGGATTTTATAACTTATGAGAACTCAATACTAAAAAAAATCAACTAGAATAACAACTTACTTTATAGAAACTAATAAATAACTGAAATACAGCACCCGAAATTTCACACTCAAACTTGATTTTAACTTCATTTTTTGTATTCTATTATTTCATCATATCAGTTGAATTATTCATCGATATTAAAATAATTAATGTAAGAAAGGGAAAGAATTTTAATTACTAAGACCCTATCTATTCTTAAAAAAAATGAGTGATATTTTGGATGAAAACTGTTATATAACTAAGCAAAAGTGTTATCTAAGAAAGCTAAGAGAGTAAAAAAAGCTTAAAATAAATCATGCTTCTTTAAATAGAAAGATCTCAAAATAAAGAATTTTTAAGAGAAAAATAAAGATTCAATATAATCCAAAGAAGTAATATAAAAAAAAAGATCCAATCAGCTTATTTTCAAAAAAGTATATAAAAAGAATATTTTTAAATAATCAAAATTTAAGTGAAAAAAAATGGAAATAGTTTTCAAAAAGAAATGGCTTTCAAATGACTGTAATTAAAACTTTTCATCTTTAATAAAAACACTTAGTTTCGAGAATAAAACTTGGTAAAAGAAATCAAGAAAGCTATAGTTTCTGAAAGTACATTAATTAAATTAGCAGTGATAACTCTAAAGTAAATTCATCAATTAATCTGAAGTCTATACCTTCATTTGTTTCTGAATTAAAAATGATAATTAATAAATAATAAAGTAGGCGTGAATTCAATTAAATTATAAGTTGAATTATTTAAAGTGAAAATACAAATTTCAAAATGGAAGAAAATGTGATTATAATAAATCGATATAGCAGCATATAAGATGCCCCATAGTTAAATTTAAAAAATAACGGATTCCATAAGAAAATAACGATATCAATAAAAGAGTTAGAAAAATGACCAATAATGGACATTGAAAAGTAACTGACAGTTTTATTTATTAGTATATTTACAGGAAAGAACTGTTGAATTCTTTAAATTGTTTAGAAAGAGAGAAAGAAGAACGATGAAAGAGCGAAATATTTGGAATCCTATAATTTAGTCCGCATTTAATTGCAAAAATATATCTAAGGAAAATATCGAAGTAAATACAAATGATATTACCCCGTTGTATAATCGTTGTAGGACGTTGTGGTACAACAAGACGATTATCGTTAGTTGCCCGTTCCTTACCATTTGATGTTGTCAATTCCACATAATTTGTTGGATGATTACGGGCTACAGTACAATTTGTCGCATTTGTCATTTTTAAAGTTTGAAAATTATTAAAATTTTTGGCACTTCCACGTGATTGTTGATGTTGTTGATGATGATGATGATGATGCTGCTGCTGTGGATCACCACGAAGTTTACGCTTTCGAGATCCAGCAAAACCAGCCCATTCATATGCTCGAAGATATTCGTGTTTCCGTTGCAAAATTCGGCAAACATTACTTTTAGCAATTGAATAACGTTCCGCAATATTAGCTTGACTCATTCCAGCATTTTCTTCCGCTAATCGAATCAACTGAACTTTTTCTTCTAGAGTTAATTCTTTGTATGGTTTCTTTTTGCGTCTTTCAATTGTGGTAGTAGTTGGAGTGGACGAATCAACGGCCATTTCGTCAGTATGAAGTCCTGCCACAACCAACGATTCATCCATTTTTGTCGTTGATGCCACAGGTGATAAATTTCCCATAGATCGAGGTTTAACTGGTTGAAAAGCCCCGCTAGCACTACCAGTATCAGTATTACTATCATCAGTACCATCATCTTCACCCTCACTGATTTTATTACTGCTGCTGTTCCTGACGCTATTACTACTTTTTGCATTTTGTAACATGGGAATTGGTAAATGAAGTAATAACTTGCGTTGTTCCAATCGTATAGAAATTATAAGTTGCCTCGTTTCGCATCCAACCGAAAATGATTTATTGTATAACCTCAAAGGGAAACAGTTTTGTTAACGTAATAGACAAAAATAATGAAAGGTTCCAAGGTAGAAATTACCATTTGCGTGAGAATTAATAGAATTGAAATGAAACTTTAAATTGAAAATTTTTTAAAACGAAAGAATTTGTAACAGACTGTGGTTTCGATGAAATTTTTGAAATTGGTTGTAATGACAATATTAATGACAGTATAATTAGCAGTGAATATTAGCGAAGTTGCAATAGAGGCTGTAGAAATAAGTGGTGATAAGGGTGTAATCAAGGGGAAAGTTAAAAAAGAGTACAGGTTTGAAGTAAATGAACGGAAGGATGAATATGGATGATGGGCTGATGATGAACGGAGAAGGGATGGACGGATAGATGGGCGTATGTAGTTGAGAAGGGTAAAAATGTATTTTGAGGGTGGGGGAAAAGTAAAGATGAAAGTGAGAAGATTTTCAGATGACAGTGACACGATTAAAAGGATGAAGAGTTGATGAGTACGGAATGGCAAAAAAGAGACAGGAAGATAAGAAATGAAAATTATTATTGGTTTGTTGTTACTGTTGTTGTCGTCGTCGTGGCCACTGATTTCACTGTTATGTCCACTTGCTCAGCGACACAGAAAAAAAAAAAAGAAAGGAAAAGGATGAGAAACTTAACTTGTTGGTGCAACCCCTTTTTTCAAACAAAAAAACATCACGTTTATCAATGAAAATGAAATAAATATTTTTATTCCTTTTTCCAAAAACGGATAGATTTGAACAAATTGAATAAGACCAAACTGAACTGAATTAGAAAAAATGAATTAAACTTAAAATATTTCTGGTTTAAAACTGCAAATGTATTTAATATGTGCAATAATACCGATAGTGGTGATAATATATTTGTAATAAAAGAATTACAAATGGGAAAAAATGAATAGAAAAATTTTGCAATAATTAATAACAATTTCAGCAATTCCATTAATGGGAAAAATAAATGACTGAATGAGATTGGATTTGAATGAAAGAATGCACGGATAGATAAATGTGAATGAATGACTAAATAAATGGATGAAAAGATCGGATATATGCAAAAAAAAGAATCTGAAAGATATCTATATCTATATATATATATTAAATGACTGAAATTTCATGTTTTTTCTTTCTACTTATTTCGAATGAAAAAATCGAAATAAGAGGCGTTTATTGTTTAATTATATATATCACATATACAATATATATATAATATAAAAACTACGATAATATAATATATAATGTGATATGATATAATATAT